TAAAAATTCGGAAACTCAAAGTACAAATTCGAATCAAAATCAAATCAATTAATTAATCAGGACGCGCTTTTTCGTCGCGGGCGTCAGATTCCATCCCCAGCGCAACAGGCTCATCGCGGCACGATGGATCTGAAAAATCCGACTCGAATAAAACTCGATTTTTGCTTCAATTTTGCTTATAAAAAGCCCCAGATTTTGTAATATTTTGCATAATTTGAGTCGTTAGCTCCCATATTCTCTTTGCTTTCATAATTTAGTAATCATGCCTAAAAATTTCTGTGAAATCACTCGTGAGTGGTGTCGGTCTCTGACCACTAGTGAGAGGAAAAAACTTGAATACCACAACATGAATGGTCTATTGGGTATTAAGGGTGTAGACTTTGACAGTGATTTTATTCATACCGCAATAGGATATTGGGACCCTAACACTCACTGTTTTAGGCTAGGAAACGATGAAATTAGCCCCCTGCCGGAAGAATTTGGTGCTATTATTGGCTTTCCCTCTTTGCTTCTTGCCGTAATCCCCCCAATATGTGAATATTATTATAAGGATTCTAAACGCTTTTATAATCTTAGAGAAACCGATTTAAAATCTATAGTTCATGGAAAAGAGGTAGATCTAAGAAAGTTTGCATCTTTATTCTTTAATAGACCTAAGTCTAACTCTTTCCACATAGATAGAAGGATAGCTTTTCTTTTCTGCATGTTTAGCCAATTCTCACTAGTGGTAGTATCCAAACAGGTCAAGCTATATTAGCATCTGTCATGGAACAAATTGACGCTGGAAGAAATCCAATGCCTTTAATTGTTGAAGAAACAATGATGAGTTTAGATGAATTGAAAAAGAATCCTAAAACATCAATTCGAGGATTTCTAATATTATTACAGGTAGAAAATCAATACTCTTAATTACAGAAATAAAAATTATTTAATTTTGTAGTGTAATGACAATTTATTTTCATTTTTGCAGATTGGCTAATGGAAAGATTAGGATTAATCCATCCTCCAGATAACATTGAAAAATACATTCATAATTGCCTTGTGAGAAGGAAGAAGAGATTTTCCATAAAGATGGGATGTCAGGAGTAGAGCAAAATATTTAAAGCTCGCAACTTCTCCATTAAGTGGGTCATGCCTTGGTGGAAGATTGAAAAGATGATAGAGTCAATACTCAAGCTTTCTGCCGTGTCCCAAGCTTATTAAAGTTGACCTTTTATTACCCTTCCAAAGTAATGAGGCAGTACGGCCCTGTTCAAACTATTCCTTCTGGTGATGATCGTCGTCCTTATAAATATTCCGTATCAAAGAATGTTGAAAGGTTCGACGATAATTAGTATGGTATACCCTTATGGACTGTTGTATCTCATAAAGTCCTTCCTCCATTGTCTAGAGAGTATAAACAATGGTTGCTTGCTCGAGATCGAAAGGACGAGAATAGGTTTCGAAATTCGAACTCTAAAGGTGTAGAGAATAGCAACATAAAAGATCGCCTAGGGGAAAAGAAAGCTCCTCCTAAAGATCGTCTGGGTTCACGAGTTGAACTCAAGACTCCTATCATGCCTAAGAAGAGGAGTGTTCTAGAGGGCAAAGGGAAGAGGAAAGCTACTCCTATAGAGAAGGAAAAGAAGACTTGGGCTGAGAAAAAGGTTGTGGTCTTTGCTAAAGGGGAAACTTTTTCCTCTAAGGTTTCAGTCCGCACCTCTAAAGGATCAGTCTTGGTCAAGGAATTGGCGGAGGATGAAGACAGAGACAAGAATTGGAAGAGGGCTCGAAAGGAAAAGGAAGATTAGACTTAGAATATTGCTTTGCCTTTAAATTTATTAGACAAATTCTAATTTCAAGTTAATTTTATCAGTAATATAATTTCAATTTCAATTCAATTATTAATGTAATAGGTTTCAAAAATAAATGTTTATCCTTTATTAGAAATAAATGTTTTAAGCAATGAAAACAACTTAAGAAATTTCAAAAATAATCCGAGTATGGAAGTCAGAAAATTTCCGAAATTATTTGAAACTGTCGCAATTAATCGCAGCTTGCCTCGGAGGAAAATAAATTTTGTCGCGACGTAATGGGATCTCTTGCATTCAAAGACAAGATCTTGAATTTTTAAAGTTGTCACACCCTACAGAAGGGTTGCCTACGTATCCTTATTAAGGAATCAAGCCAAACGTAGCTCTCTTGAGTACGGAACTCATTAAATTATGCGTAGAACTTCTTGAGTTGGTCAAGGTTTGTCATATTCAAGAATTCATTCCCGTCCATATCTGTTAACTTAGTTGCGCCTCCAGACAGGATGGTTTTGACTATGCATGGTCCAAACCAATTAGGCCTAAATTTGCCTCTCCAATCAGGACATTCTATCCAAGTGCTTTCAACACCAAGTCTCCTTCCTTGATGTTTCTTGTATTGACCTTTTTATTGAAGTGTCTAGCCATTCGGTTTTGGTAGCATTGGACATGATGCAAGGCTTCCAACCGTTTTTCATCGAGTAGAACTAGCTCTTCATATCGAGCACTTGTCCATTAAACCTCATCAAGCTTACTTTTTCCAACGCTATGCGCAAGGAAGGTATTTATAGCTCTACAGATTGTACGACGTCCATTCCGTAGACTAAGGAGAATGGCGTAGTTCCTATGGATGAGCGGATTGACGTGCGATAACCCCAAAATGTGAAATGGAGTTTGTCAGACCAATCTTTGTAATTTTCTGTCATCTTTTAGATGATTATCATTAGGTTTTTATTGGCTGCTTCTACTGCATCATTTGCTTGAGGTCTATATGGAGAAGAGTGATGATGTTTAATACCATACTTTTTAAGTATGTCCTCACACTCTGCTTGAATGTGAGTTCCATTTTCACTTATCATATCATGTGGGACTCCATATCTACATATGATTTTCCTTTCGATGAAGAGTGTCACATGCTTCGCGGTGATTTTTACGTAAGGTGCCGCTTCAACCCATTTGGTGGAATAATCTATGGCAACGGGAATGGCCATGGAGATGTGTAAGTGTAAAGAAGGGAAAGTGGAACATGTTGAAAATTGGCGTATATCTGGCATTTCGCACATCTCTTCACATAGTGATGGCAATCTCTTTTGATGGTAGTCCAATAATAGGCTTGGCGCATGACCTACTGGACTAGAATTTTACCATTCATGTGTATTCCACATGCTCCTTTGTGGATAATTCTCACTGCCTTTTGAGCTTCCTTTTATCCTACGCATATGATAGCTCTTCCTTTAGGTACTCTTTTGTGAAGCTCACCATTTATGAGTACGAACTGTGAGGTTAAGAGTCTCAAAGCATGTTTCTCTCTTTTATCAGCATTAGGTGGATATTCCCTTTTGGTGACATTGTTGCGAATGTCTGTATACCATGGTTCTTCTTCATCTTCTTGGATTTCTTCCTCATCTTCAATAGCTTGAACATAGGCAGGCTTATGCCTTTATTCTATGGTTATGGGCATTTGCTCAATTTCCTTAGGAATTCTAACCATCGAGGCTAGTCTTGCCAAGGCATCAACAAATTAGTTTTCCTCTCTTGCTAGCAGTAGAATAAGCTGAATTGGAAGCGGTTCAAACCCCCTAATTGGAAGCGGTTTTGAACCGCTTCGGTTTTGGGGGGCTTGCCATTGTGAAGTTAAACTGGAAGCAGTTCAAACCGCTTCCAATTAGTGGAGAATTGGAAGCGGTTTTGGCGCCAAACCGCTTCCAATTCCCATTTTCCCCTTGAAAAGTTTAATGTAATTGGAAGCGGTTTTGGGGCCAAACCGCTTCCGATTGTACAATTTTATTTTATTTTTTTATTTTTTTTATTTTATTATTAATAATATTAATATAATAATAATATTAGTGACCTTTCACAATAATTTTAGTATTATTAATTAATAATACTAATATAATATTATTAATCGATATAATTATTATTATTAATTAATAATAAAATTAATATTATTAATTAATAATAATATTAATATTACAAACAAAATAATACAATGATATATATAACACGAAATAATTATATATATAAAAAGTAACATCATTAATATATTCAATGAACAACCATATTTAATTACACAAACATATATTAAGATTACAATTACAAATACTACGTACTAATAAGTACTTAATTAATTAAAATAATGTTGATAATAACTAATTAATAAAGTCAAGCTAACAAACCAATATAACCATTACCACAATTCTAGAAGCCATCAAATGTGACGAAAAAAGCCCACATGTCGCGAACTTCATTGATTTCCTTCCTTGTTAACAGACCTTCCCTTTGAACCTTGCAAAACTTTAGAGAAAAAAAAAAACCAAACATTGTCATGAGTATCACAAGACCGAAATGCACCAATATCACAGAAATTCACTGAAAATCACCAAAATCACCAAAATGGCCAAAATGCACCAAAATCACGTGCATGTACAGGCTGCTGGGCTGCTGCCTGGTTGGGCTACATCCTGGTTGGGCTGCTGCCTGGATGGGTGCTGCAGTGGTGCCTAGCCAGCGTGCCTTGGCTGTTGCAGCTGCCTGGGCAGCGTGCCTTGGCTGCTGCAGCTGCCTGGGCAGCGCCTTGAATGCCGCAACATCATGGGTTGTGTGCGTGTTACGCTTATGTTTTGTTCGGCGCAATAATGGAAACAAGTAATAGGTTGAAGATAGTAAAAGCATACCTCATCTAGTTGTTGTGCTTCCTTGCAACTATTGACTATGTCAAGCATAAACCTCATAACGTATAGGGCACAATCAAGTCCGTTGTCTTGTTGCGCACACTGACATGCCACAAAGGTAATCAAATCATGCATAGCCATAACCGAAGCCAAGTATATTAAGCAAATCACTAACTCAAGGCATTACCTTTGGAAATTTCCACGCAGGACCCGCAGGAGAACGACAATTTAGCTTTTTCTTTACACTTTAGGAAAATAAGTTCAAAGTAAGAAACATAAATAATCAATGATTTAGGTGAGGTCAATCAACAATAGGAAGTAATATGTACCTATTCAATATATTATTCACTTGCAACCTCCGTGGTGGATTCCGACAAAGTGAATCAAAGTGGTAGATTGTATTTTTGGAAACACAAATCACCAAAAGGGTCCAATGAGCACTGCATATATTTCAAAAACGTCAACATATATATGCCACAGTTAACTACATTTTCAGAATTTTATAAAAAAAATAACAACTGAATTATGACATTTGTAGACGTACTCCTCAAAACATGGGGCTAATATGAACTTATCCCCCGCACGCGTTGATTGCTTAATACTCCGTTCTAGGTAATCTTCCACATCACAAGGGTTGCATAAGCATCTGGTAATCGAGGTCTGCTCGGGGCAAAACCACCCAACCGCAGCCTCGGAACCGCATAAGCAACTAAGGTGCTCCTATAGTGCCCTTCAAAACAGTATTGTGGGGAATAATTATTAATTGCATTGTTTACATTAAAAAATGCAACATCAATATGATTAGGGATAGTGGCATTGAATTACCTCATGAAAGCTTGAATGATGGAAATGTTAAGCATGGCACCAGATAGAAATTCCTTCACATCCTCTTTTGTAATTGGTGCGATCCCATCCTCATCATAGTGGAACAATGCCTTAGGTAAAATCACTTCAATAGATCTACCCCTAAGCAACTCGCTTACACGGTTGTGAAGAAAAGTACAAGCTTTAGAGAGCGAATTCAGGATGCGGGCTTCTACTATTGGAGTACAACTCTTGGCAGAACCTCTCAAACTCTTATTCAACCCTTGTCCTTGTTCCATGTTCTTTGTAGGTTGGACATTCTTAGATTTTGGCTTCTCCACCTTCTTCCTTTTAGATGACTGATTTTCATTTGTAACATAAAAGCACATGGTTAAATTACAAGCTATTTGGGACATGTTTTAAAAACAAGCTAAGTAGTGTACACTTACCCCTCCTATTAACCTCACCCGATCACGTGGCCATGGCACAAAGCTACTTTTCGCATCAAGCAGCGTGATGAAGTCATATTCCTCTCTAGGCACCGGTAGTGGCAAGTCCTCAAACCCTGGTACTATGGAATTGATCCCGACCGAGATATAGTGGGTACTAGTATTAGACTTAAAATGGACCTTGTCAAACGGTTGTGCGCTACCATACCCCACCAACTCTCCATCCACGTTTTTCCCGGGGTGAAGAAGCTCACAAGGCGTCTCTTCCTACACATTTGATTGGGACAAGTTATGAACTAATCAACCAGTGTAAGCCTAATACAAGGACATTTCATTAAGACTTGAAATTTACCTGAACATCTGGAAAAGGATCAGGTGTCTGGTTTGCAATCCCCCTTGAGTTTGCATGCGTAGAACTAGGAATCTGCAACAGTTCAAAATAATTTTGCTACATAAGGCCTCGTTTGATGATATGAAGTTCATGTTCTCAAATGTAATTCAATTACCTCGCTCTCAACAAGTGGATCGTCCCTGGCATCTTTTGGGTGACTACATGAGTTTATTGGGGTTATCGGGGGCAAAGACAAGGTTGGCAAGTTCATGTGCTTCAAAATTGCATTGAATTGACTTTGCAATTGTTCTTGCACCTCTTTGCGTATCTCCGCCTTAATTGCTTCCTTTTCCTTGGCATCCATATGGTGTGGCGAATTAACACTTGATCTGATCTTCCTGATCAAGTGTATTCTGAACCCATAACCTTTTCCCACCCTAGTTGTTTCCCTCCCGCTCCAATTACTCGCCCAGGGTGGTATGGTTTTCCCAAAGCCAAGGTAAAAGGATCGTTCTCTATGCTTGGAGTGAGCTTGCCTTCAACCACTTCCGACGTATGCTCGAGCTGCAACAACACAAAAAGTTTGGTTAATTCTAAGTTAGATGTAGTTTCTATGGAAATAGTTAATAATAACGGTGGAATATTAGCATAAATGACATAGGGTGCTTACAAGTGCATCTGCTACAGTTTTCGTATCCGGGTGCACGACGTACTTCCCGGTGTTCTTATCGATCCCATGCATAGCACACCACCAGTCATTTGCACGACTTACCAAAGATGTGACCGTGGAGGGAAGAGGTTTATCAGCTGATGATATTTTGGATGTGGGGTATAGACCCTCTTTGTTCCACTTTGGTCTACTTTCCGCAAATGTCTTACAACCCATATGATGGCTATACATTTTCTTCTCAGCATTGCACGTAGCTTGTTGACTTTTTTCCTACACATTAACAAATGTTCGCATCATTATATGTAGTGAGCAAAATTAAGGAAACAACTGTAATTTATATAAAACTACATACAAGTGCAGTAGTAGTAGTTGATTTTGCCACAAACTTCTCCCAGTCCTTCACCGTTATTTGTGGATATACATCCCACGGTTTCTTCTCAGGTTCCTCCTCTCCTGCCTTACCCATCACAGTTTTCTTCAGTTTATGCCTTTGTTTCTTATGGATCCATCTTGTTATCAACGAACTTTTGAAGTTTTTGAATCTCTCTTGTACAAAACCTTCAAACGATCTTCTCTTGTCTGGCTCATCAAGAATATTAAACACACTCTATAAGAATGGCAAACGTCCATGTTAGTCAAGGGAAAAAAAAAAAAAGATCACCCTAGGCAGGCTGCAAAGCAGCCCTCGCAAGCTGCACATCAGCCCTGGCAGGTGCACAGTCACCCTAGGCAGGCTGCACAGCCAGCCTAGGCAGCTGCACAGCCACCATAGGCAGGCTGCACAGTAGCCTAGGCAGCTGCACAACAGCCCTGGCAGGCTACACAGCCACCATAGGCAGGCTGTACAGCCACCATAGGCAGGCTGCACAGTAGCCCTGGTAGGCTGCACAGCCACCCTAGGCAAGCTGCACAGCCACCATAGGCAGGCTGCACACGCAAGTGTACGTAGTTTGGTTAATTTCGTTGAATGCGCATTGATTTTGGTATGAAGTTTTATGACAAAAACTAAAATACAAAACACTTACCATTGTATCATCCCAAAACATTTGAAGCAACCCTTTAAGTATCTCTGCCCAGTCAAGTGTGATCGGTATTTTACGAGTCAGTATGCCATTGTTTGTGGAATATTTGTTGCGCCACTGCCTAGTAGGTTGATCCAACTCGTCAAACTCAAGAACCATGGGTTCCCCGGGTTTCTTAAATGCTTTTGTTGCACCCCTAAAATTTCTCTTCCCCGGTGCCTTTCCACCACCGCTTGTTTTCACTTGACGTTGCATGTGCATTTGTCCTTGTGAATCTCGTACAAACTCGAAAACAATATCATCCATAATAGGGGGGGCATATTCAGCTGTTATCTCATAAGCATCAAACCTACGCTGCAACTTATCATGAGCTTGGTCTTTTGGTTCACCCAAATCTTGCTCCTTATTGATATCATACAACTCGTCACCAGATTCAGAACTACCACGGTCTTCATCATCCATATCCTCTTCGTGGTGAAGGTATTCATCACCACCCATTTTATGTACACACCTACCACCATAAGAAACGCAAATAATTAGTCATTAGTAAGACAAGAAAATTCTAAAAGTCATTGATTTCATGCTAATACAAGGTGCTAGAAGCGAAAAAAGTTGAAAATGCAAAAATGAGCTTCTAACTTTCCCAACTTCTTTATTTTCATTCCTAGTTCACATGTAATCCTTCTCACAACTCATATTTGGTATACAAAACATGTTTACAACTTGAAAATGCTTAAAAGTCATTGATTTCATGCTAATACAAGGTTATAGGAGCGAAATAAGTTAAAAATGCCAAAAATGAGCTACTAACTTTCCCAACTTCTTTATTTTCATTCCTAGTTCACATGTAATCCTTCTAACAATTCATATTTGGTATACAAAACATGTTTACAGCTTGAAAATGCTTAAAAGTCATTGATTTCATGCTAATACAAGGTGCTAGAAGCGAAAAAAGTTGAAAATGGCAAAAATGAGCTTCTAACTTTCTCAACTTCTTTATTTTCATTCCTAGTTCACATGTAATCCGTCTAACAACTCATATTTGGTATAAAAAACATGTTTACAACTTGAAAATGATTAAAAGTCATTGATTTCATGCTAATACAAGGTTATAGGAGCGAAATAAGTTAAAAATGCCAAAAATGAGCTACTAACTTTCCCAACTTCTTTATTTTCATTCCTAGTTCACATGTAATCCTTCTAACAATTCATATTTGGTATACAAAACATGTTTACAGCTTGAAAATGCTTAAAAGTCATTGATTTCATGCTAATACAAGGTGCTAGAAGCGAAAAAAGTTGAAAATGGCAAAAATGAGCTTCTAACTTTCTCAACTTCTTTATTTTCATTCCTAGTTCACATGTAATCCGTCTAACAACTCATATTTGGTATACAAAACATGTTTACAACTTGAAAATGATTAAAAGTCATTGATTTCGTGCTAATACAAGGTTATAGGAGCGAAATAAGTTAAAAATGCCAAAAATGAGCTACTAACTTTCCCAACTTCTTTATTTTCATTCCTAGTTCACATGTAATCCTTTTAACAATTCATATTTGGTATACAAAACATGTTTACATCTTGAAAATGCTTAAAAGTCATTGATTTCATGCTAATACAAGGTGCTAGAAGCGAAAAAAGTTGAAAATGGCAAAAATGAGCTTCTAACTTTCTCAACTTCTTTATTTTCATTCCTAGTTCACATGTAATCCGTCTAACAACTCATATTTGGTATACAAAACATGTTTACAACTTGAAAATGATTAAAAGTCATTGATTTCATGCTATTACAAGGTTATAGGAGCGAAATAAGTTAAAAATGCCAAAAATGAGCTACTAACTTTCCCAACTTCTTTATTTTCATTCCTAATTCACATGTAATCCTTCTAACAATTCATATTTGGTATACAAAACATGTTTACAGCTTGAAAATGCTTAAAAGTCATTGATTTCATGCTAATACAAGGTGCTAGAAGCGAAAAAAGTTGAAAATGGCAAAAATGAGCTTCTAACTTTCTCAACTTCTTTATTTTCATTCCTAGTTCACATGTAATCCGTCTAACAACTCATATTTGGTATACAAAACATGTTTACAACTTGAAAATGATTAAAAGTCATTGATTTCATGCTAATACAAGGTTATAGGAGCGAAATAAGTTTAAAATGGCAAAAATGAGCTACTAACTTTCCCAACTTCTTTATTTTCATTCCTAATTCACATGTAATCCTTCTAACAACTCATATTTGGTATACAAAATATGTTTACAACTTGAAAATTCTTAAAAGTCATTGATTTCATGCTAATAAAAGGTTATAGGAGCGAAATAAGTTGAAAATGGCAAAAATGAGGATTGTCATTACGATGCTTAAAAAATTGTACCTCGTTCGAGTATTCCCTCATTGTGGTCAGCTCAAATATAATTTGCATCGTTGTCTACATCATTTGCTACATCAAGTCTAGGGGCAGTGAAAGGGGGCGAATCATCAAACGCATCATATTCGTCCTCGTCTTCAACATCTCCAACCCCTAAAATTCTTCTTTTGCTAGCAAGGACGATGGACCATTTTGGATCGGCTGGGTCGGTTACGTAAAACACTTTCTTAGCTTGAGATGCAAGGATGAATGGTTCCAAACTATCCTGCAAGTGGCCAAGGTCAATAAGAGTGAAGTCATCATGTCTGACGTTGCGCCTAATATTATCGACCCATTTACACTTAAATAGACCAACCTTGAACTCACGGTAATCTAGTTCCCATATTTCCTGAATTCGTCCGTAGTAGGATAATTGTGCGTCAACCGGTGATGTATCCTTCGCACTTGCAAACTCTCTTGATGAAGCCACAAGAGTGACACCACTATTTTGAGTCGATGAGGATTTCTGATCACGATGCTCAGTCCAGAATGTATACCATTTATGTCATATCCCTCAAAAGAATAAACATCTTCCTTTGGACCATTAACTAGCCACTTTATAGTATCAGAGACACTCTCATCCAATTGACGCATAACTCGATCATGGAACCACGTCACAAACATCTTATTATGCAACTGCATTAGTGCCCTTTCCCCTTTTGATGGAAATTCCGCACGCAAACTATCCATGTGCTCTTTTAAATATGGGTGAACCTCCGCAACATGATGAAGCGCAAATAGGTAAGCTTGCAAGAACTGATCATGAGTAGGTGAGATCTGTTTCGACCCGAGGGTGCCATGACCATAAAGTCTCCCTTCATGTCAGGAAGTGGGAAGCCCAATTGGTTCGGCAACGGCAACATACTCCGCCATGAAATTACCAATCTCCTCCGCCACAATCCCTTGAATCATACTACCTTCTGGATGGGCTGGATTCCTGACTTTATGTTGCAATGTGCCCATGTGTCTTTCAAAAGGATAGCACCACCTCATAAAGATTGGACCGCACATCTTAATCTCAAGAACCAAATGAAGAACCAAATGCACCATTATGTCAAAAAATGACGGTGGGAAATACATCACAAATTTGCACAAAGTTACAACTACATTCACCTAGAGATCATCAAGTATAAAAGGATCAAGCACTTTGCTGCATATGGTATTGAAATACGAACAAAGGCTTGTAATAGCTTCTCTCACGTGCTTCGGTAGAATACCACGAATTGTAATCGGTAGGAATACTTGCATCATCATGTGACAATCATGAGATTTCATACTAGTAAACTTCAATTCCCCATTTTAGGAAACGAATCTTTTGATGTTTGACGAGAAACCAGATGGAACCTTAACGTCACTACTAGAAAACAGCCCATCAACGACGGAAAAAATCCGTCGGAAAACCCTGAAATTTCGTCGAAAGGCATCGTCGCATTATAGTTTGTAGGAATTTCGCGGTATTCCGAGGGAATTTCCGTCGGAAAGGTCCATTCCGACGGAATTTCCGACGGATTTTGTTCTGTCGGATTCAAGTTTGACTAAAATGTGAAGTTCGTCGCAACATTCCGACGGACTGAATTCTGTCGGAACCTACAACCTTCCGACGGAATATTCCATCGGAAACAACTATGCTTCCGACGGAAATTCCGTCGGAAACAACTATGCTTCCGACGGAATTTCCGTCGGAAAGTTTAATAAAAAATAAAAAAAAAAAAAACAGCCCCACCCACCACCCCCACCAACCAGCCACCCCCTGCCCCCATAACCCAGATCCCCACCCACCAGCCCACCCCCTGCCCCCACAACCCAGATCCCCACCCCCTGCCCCCACAACCCAGATCCCCTCCCCCTGAACCCCCCCAACCCAGATCCCCACCCACAAAACCCCCCTCTAACCCACAACTACCCACAACCCACCACAAGCCAAAAAAACAAAACTAAAAAAACAAAACTAAAAAAACAAATTCAAAAACAGGAAAAAATCAAAATTCGAAATCAAAATCAAAATCAAATACACGAAAAATCATAGAAAAAAATCGAATAAAGCCGAAAAAAAAATCAAGAACACGAAAAATAAAAATAAAAAACGAAAAAAGGCTTGAATCAGAAGAATCACAAAAATCAGAAGAAAAAAGCCAAAAAAAACAAATTTAAAACACGAAAAATCATAAAAAAAAAAAAGTAAAAAAG